TTTTTTTTTTCTGTTGTTTTTCTTGTCATTTCTTTCCTTACTTTGAAACAGCAGCTCACACTAAAGCCTGGGCTCATTGAGAACTCAACAGCTGGTTGTCTGGCTTAAGGCAGCCTCAGACTCAATCCAGCGGCCTTCCCGCCTCCCAGTCTCAAGCCCACATACATGCTCAGTGAAAATCAAAGTCCACATTTGGTTGTTGTTCCTGGTACTGGGGATGCAAACCGGGGCTATCCGCGTTTTAGGCACTACTAAGCCACATCCGGAACCCGGCTGGAGAAGCATGTTCCGTGGAATCAGAGAAGCAGCTCCCCCCCCCCCCGACGCCTCCCACGCCCCCGGATTCTGATAGACAAGGGCAGGGCAGGGAGTAACAGGAGTGGGCAAGGGGGAGGCTCCCCAGAGAAATCCAGCTCCCCAGGACAGGTAGCAGCCTGGGTGGGCCCAGAGACGGACAGAGCAGGACTCAGGTTAACCAGGAAGGATGACATCTACACCTGTAGGGATGCCCAGGCATCTGGGTAGAGGGTGGGCACGGGCTGTGCAAAGGTCCGGGGGCATCTTAGAGAGCACAACCCTGGCTCTGGCCACTGTTAGACAACAGGCTGCTTTACTTCCCAGGAAGGTCTATGGAAAAGGGATATTTGTTCTTTTCCTCCCCAGGCTGGATGCCATCCAGGAACAGCAAGGCTGTTAGAAGAGGGGGCCAAAGTCCACACTTCCTGTTCAGTGTTGGGGCTCCAGCTGACCACTGACAGATGGTTTAGACCTGGATCCCAGAGGGTCCAGGTGATGACAGGGACAGCATGGCTCCAGGTGGGAACAGAAATGCTCTTTCTCCTTCCACGCCCTCAAAAAAAAAAAAAAAAAGCACCCTGGGGGAAAAAGAGGCACCCCACAAAACAGTGAGAGAAGGTGCACTTGGTCCCTGTCAGCATCCTATCTGCCAAGGAGCCTGCCTCCTGCACGCTCCAGGGAGCCCCAGCAGCTGTCTCTAAAGAGCCAATCTGTGCAGGGAGAGTTAACAAGAACAGCACAATGCTGTCCCCTAAACTCCGTCTGCCCCTTTGCCAGACAGAGTCACCTCAAGTCTCACGGCAGAGAAGGTGTCTGTTGAGCCCTGCTCTGGCACCAGATGAAGCCACGAAGACAGAGCTCAGAGGCACCGAGTCCTTCCTGGTCTGTCGGAGGCCAAGCCACCTACCTCCGTCCAGCTGAATCCTCCCGCCTCTCAGGGCTCTCGGGGCGCTGACTCCTAGAGCATCTCTCGGGGGCTGAGTCTTTTCTAGGCCAGGTCAGAGGGGAAGCACAGACACGTCAAAGCAGAGAGAGAGAGAGGAGAGAGAGCCCGAGGGAGAAAAAAAGTCTCGGG